AAGAAGGCTGAGGGTTCTGAGAGAATTGGAGGAGGTTTTGGTCAGAGTTGCCTATACTAACACTTGAATGTGTTTTCCTCTTTGGACAGGCCCCAAATCCTAGAGGAAGAAAACATCCAACAGCAGCTCCCTCACCCATGCCCACCACCTCCACACAACCATGTACTTCTTCCTCCTCAACCTCTCTGTTCTCGACCTTGGCTTCATTTCTACCACTGTCCCCAAAGGCGTGGCCAATTTCCTCTGGAACAGCAGGGCCATCTCCTACTCAGGATGTGCTTCCCAGGTCTTTCTTTTTTCCTTCTTGGCAATAGCAGAGTATACTCTTCTCACAGTCATGGCCTATGACCGCTACATTGCCATCTGCAAACCCCTGCACTACGGGACCCTCCTGGGCAGCAAAGCTTGTGTCCACATGGCAGTAGCTGCCTGGGGCAGTGGTTTCCTTTATGCTCTGCTGCACACAGTCAATACATTTTCACTACCCCTCTGCCAAGGCAGTGCTGTGGACCAGTTCTTCTGTGAAATCCCCCAGATCCTCAAGCTCTCCTGCTCACACTCCTACCTCAGGGAAGCTGGGCTTCTTGTGGTCAGTGCCTGTTTAGGTGTTGGGTGTTTTGTTTTCATTCTGCTGTCCTATGTGCAGATCTTCAGGGCTGTGCTGAGGATCCCCTCTGAGCAGGGACAGCACAAAGCCTTTTCCACGTGCCTCCCTCACCTGGCCGTGGTCTCCCTGTTTATCAACACTATATTGTTTGCTCACCTGAAGCGTTCCTCCAAATCCTCCCCATCTCCAGATGTTGTGGTGGCATTGCTGTACTCAGTGGTGCCTCCAGCAGTGAACTCCTTCAACTACAGCATGAGGAATCAGGAGCTGAAAGACACACTGAAAAAGCTGATTCAATCAGTATTCTTTCAACAGCAATAAGCTGTTCACAATAAGACTCTTCACAGAATTTCCTGTTTATCTTGGGAATTTGCTGTGCTTTGTGTTTTTACTCTCTGATAGTCATCTGTGTTTGGGAATGTCTGCATTTACTCCACTTCTCCAGAGGAATTACCGTTGTCTTTCTCACCCAGAGGTCTTTGCACATGTGCCTGACAGAATGGTAAACCTGGCCTTCCATGTCACTGTTCTGTAACAAAAGAGGATTTCCTCAGTGCTGGTGTCTGGAGTTTGGGTTCCTCTTCCAAAGCTGCGGTCAGGAACAGGGTAAAGAAATTGCCTCCATGAGGCCCTGCTGTTGTTCTTGAGTTCTCCATGGGCGTAAGATG